GCCGCCTATCTTCTCGTTTCGTCCCGCTATCCGCATCTGCTGATGCCCGGCTGAGGTGCCAGGAGTTGACGCGGAGGTGGATTTTTTAATTTTGTTGAGAACGGCGGGGGCCTCTTCTCTAGCCCGTTTGAGTTGTTTCTCAAACGTTTTTCCAACCTCTCCTCCCTGCGGAAATAACCAATCCAAAGTTAGCATCCGAGAGAAATAATTTTTAAGATTGATTTGCGAAAGGGTCAGGCATTTATTACCTTGGCCTTGACCTCAGCCGCAACTTTTTCCGCAAGTTGCTTGCGGATGAGTGCAGAGGATCGCTTGGGAGTCTTCTCCGTCTGCAACATATTTAATGCTTCTTCTGCAAAAAAGAGAAATTGATCAATATCATAAATTAACTCTGATAGAAAGATACTACAGACGGATATAAACTCAGGCGCATACGTTTGGTAAACATGTGCCCTAGCCCGCAGGCGGCTAGGAAGCACTCGTCCCTGAACCAGGCGCTCTTGGGGATCCAGTCCTTGGGGACTTTAATTGTCTCCCCGGTTGACAAGGTCGCGTCTGTGAGGCCAAAAAAGTCTGCCTCAATGATTTTGTCAAAATCTTCCTCTGGGATCCGGAGAAGAGCGCACTTCCGGCCCATCAAGTCGGGCTTCTTATTGTACAGACGGAATTCATAATTCTCCCGTCTGGTTGGAGCTGACATCAGGTAGAACCTATGTTTCCAGCCGTCGAATTTTGAGACCTTGTCCAAGGTCATCATGTATTGCGGATGTGTGGTTAGAGTATACCACGCCCTCTAGCCGCCTGGGCTTCTGCTAAGATAATGCATGCTAGCAAAAGCCTCCCAGCCGGGGTTAAGCCCCTGGAACTCGCAGGCGGCAACATATTCCAGAATGTTTGTCCAAGAGTTGGGGGTAAGTTGCCAGACTCCGAGGCCGTAGCCTCTTAAAATTGCCTTCACCGCCTGGTGAAGGGGGAAGCGAAGGCCAGCCTTGAACACCGCCTCATAACAGCCGAAATAGTTGTTAGCGTTCTCTTGATCGTCCTCCCAGGCGACAGTGCCATTCTCAGGCAGCACCCGGATCCTATACCCGTCTCCTAGCGGGTGCATTTGAGTAAAATTCTTTAAGTTTTCCTCCATTTGGATCCGGTCCTTGGAGGAGACGTGGATATTGAAGGGATCATCCTTCTCCTTCCATTTTTTCCTTTCCTCCTCCTCGCTATCCTGAAGCGGGGGTAAATCATCACTACTCTCAGAGGTAGAAGCGGAGCTGTCGCTCTCCGTCTCTTCCTCATTTTAGGTCAAGGGGGCAAAGACGGCCTCGTCGCCGCCTTGGTCGCACTCTTCCAAAAAAGAGTCAGCGGGGGTTGAAGGGACGCGCGGAGGGGACCTCTCCAGAGCCGTCTGGTCTCTGGAAGACGAGCTTTCTTGCTTGCGCCTGACTCAAACGGATGACTTCTGCTCTCTCAAAGTTCTCTCTAGAAAATTTTTTGTAAACGTACAAGATTATGAGGGTAAAACGGCTATATATAGAGGGTAAATACAAGGGCATTTCCGTAATTTACCCGGAAGGTGAACGGTTACTCTTTAATGGTAAAATTACCGCCAATTGGAGCGTGACATATGTCACAGATGCCACGTGGCGTGCCACGTCACATCTGTGAGGGGCAAATGTTTTGGGTAATTTTACCCCGCCACGTGGTCCAATCAGAGGATGACACGTGTCAGCCTCAGGATGGCCCAAAGTGGACCAATCCCTGCTTGACACGTGTCACTCCAGAAATTAAGGGAAAAAGGCGGCCTTCAGGCCCAAATCCCGAGAAAGCCGCAAAGCGGCGCAGCCCACCAATGATTAGGGTTCAGTGACCTAATCAGGGGCACAAATCCCAAAGACCCTATAAATAGGGAGATGTCCCTCTTTTTGAGGGCACGTTTTACCATTTATTACACACTTGACTCTTTGATAGAGACATCCTGAGCTTGGAATCCGAGCAGATACCCACCTAAATTTCCGCACCTTTTTTCTCCCTTCAAGTTTCTAACTTGTGCGTCGGAGGCGGAGCACCACCCAACTGGTGTCTCCGTTTGTTTTTCAGGTACAGCTCATTCCGGATCAGTCTTCGTGCTGTAACTCTCTCGAGGGACAAAAACACCCAAAACAGTTGGGGAGTTCATTGCAGACAGAATCGGGGGCAGAGGAGGTTAGAGAAGCCGGAATCAAAGGATGAGAGAGGTTGGCGCAGCTGGAATTGGGGGATGGGGGAGGTCGGCGAGGCCAAAATCGGGGAACAAGGATGGAGGAGATCCGCGAGTCTGGAAACGGGGGTAGGGGTGATCATCGAGACCGGCATTGGGGGACAAAGGAGGTCGACGCGACCAGATTCGAGGGACAGGGGAGGTCGGCACAGCCGCCGGTGCGATGGCAGGGGTGGTCGCCGCAGCAGGGTTTGTGGTTTGGCTGGTGGATGGGGTTGGGGTTTGTTTGGGGCTGGAGTCACGTCGGGGTTGGAGTCATGGTGGATGTGGGGTTGTTAGACCCCGATGTCGGCGCTGGGGTGGGTTCTGGTGGCCGGAGCCGCGGAGGTGGGGACTCAGGGGCGGTGCTGGGGTAGGTTTTTTTTTTCTTTAAAAAATATTAATTTTAATATTAATTTTTTGTTAAAAATTTATTTTATTTTATTTTTATTTTTAGACCAATCACAGGCCGCTACGTGTCAAGTAACTTGTTATAACAAGTTACATGACCGGTTGGGACCATTGGTGGCGAATCGGCTATAAAGGTCGGATTATTTAAAAATAATCCAAAGGTGGGATTATTTTGGGCGGACGGCCAAAATGTGGGATTATTCCGGACAATTTTTCCTAAATAAAAATCTAACAATATTGCAAAACTAAAGTAACTAAAATGAATGGTTTCCAAAAAAAAAAAAAAAGTAACTAAAATGAAAATATCAAAACTTGAGACATGCAAAGTTAGATAATGCCAGCCAATATAAATATTCCATACAATTAAATTAAGATTAGAATCCAATAATTAAATTCACGCCAATTTACTAAATGTACAATTTTACATGGTGAATTGACTTACTATGTTGACATCTACTTCGCAGTTCGCACAATAATCATCACTAGTCATTATAAAGATGCCAATTTGAGTTATCATTTAGATTTTGATCAAGTCTAATTAGATCGAGACATTTCGGGTCAGGCGACGATTTTAAATCTACTTAACTTTACTAAAATATGTTTAAGTCATGCTAAATTATATGCTTTCTATGTTAAGCCGTTTCAAATTATGTTGAGTTATTTGAATTTGGTTAGTTTTTAACACCTCTACGTAAATTTGTCAATTTTCGACCGATCGAACCCGACCCGCTTTTTTGGGTCTTGAACATAGTTTTTTTTTTACCTGTAACCCGATATAACCCGAACTCATTTAATCAATAAATTTGTGGGTCAAACTCGACCCGAACCCAAACCCAACCCGACAACCCGATTTTATGGTTTTTTTTTTAAAATAAATAAATACAGTTATTTGAAATTAATATTAGTTTATTGATTATGTTTGATTGTATGTCATCGGACATTCATTTTATCTCTTTCTCATTTATCTAACTCATAATTCCTCCGTTTTTTTTAGGAAAAATTAGAAATAATAATCCCAACTTTCATCAATTTTGATAGAATAATCTCAACTTTGTATTATTCTGGAATAATCCGAACTTTGGGGGTAGTTTTTTTTCTTCAATCCCAAACCGGTCAACAAAAGTCAATGACCTATTATATCAGGTCACTTAACACGTGTCGAGTCCTGATTGGTCCAAAAATTAAAAAAAAATAAAAATAGAAAACTACCCAGCTTCCCTTCCTCCACCGATCCACCCTAACCTCCACCACAGCCCAGCCGCCACCCCACCGATCCACCATAACCTCCACCACCACATCCCAGCCCACCGCTTCTCCACCACCACATCCAAGCCCAGTCACCGTTTTCCCGCCCACACAACCATCGCAGCCACGAAATCGCAGCAACGAAATCTCAGCCACGAAATCCCAGCCACGAAACAGCAGCCACTAAATCGCAGCCACCGAAATCGTAGTCATTGAAATCGCAGCCAATTTTCGGGAGTAGGCAATATGGTTTTGAAGGACTTTCGCTGGTGGTCTTTGGGGGTTTTCGATTGAGAAGGGTAGCCGAAAAATTGGAGAAGGAGATTCGATGGCAAGGGGAGGGGGAAAACCGGCGCAGGTGCCGAATATTGTGACTGTCGGAGTGGGTGTTTGGGGGCAATTGAGAGGAGAGAGAAAATGAAAAGCCTTTTCGTGGCTGGGGGTAATTGGCCGGCGGGAGGTCGGGAAAGGGCTGGCGACGATGGCGAGGGGAGAGGGAAACCAACCCTGTTTTCCTATCGGCCAACGTCATGTGGTGGCTGGCCGGATTTCGTGGTTGGTGGCTGGCCGGATTTCGTTTGGCTTTTTTTTTTTATTTAAATTATTTTTTTTTAGAAGAAGAAAAATATATATATTTAAATTATTTTTTGACCAATTAACTTGTGACACGTGTCACTTAAAAAAAAATAAAAAAAAATTAACCCATTTAACCGGTCACCGGTTTTTGGGATTGAAGAAAAAGAACTACCCCTAAAGTTCGGATTATTCCAAAATAATTCAAAGTTGGGATTATTCTACCAAAATTGATGAATGTTGGGATTATTATTTCTAATTTTTACTTATTTTTATAGTTGCAACCGTTTGACTTTTACACTATTCAATTGTTTTACTTTGACTAGTTTAACGATTTATGCTTAAGTAAAATATAGTCATGTGGGATCTTGTTAGATTCATATCGATTTATATGATATTAATATCAAATGTTTATAATTTTTACATATTGCTCATTAAATATATAAACGATCGAAAGCGTGCATTGGCAAGCGTGAAAGTGAAGTGTTGCAATTATAAAAAAACTGAGAGTTAAGTATAAGAGTGGGTACTAAACTTTGGCAAAAGTTGCTAATAGGGGACTCAACTTTCAGAAGTAGCAAATTGGGTACTAAACTATGAGATAGTACTTGCAGGAGAGAATATTCCGGCCACTTAACCTATACCAACAGGTTGTAACAGGTTTATCCAAAATAAAAAAAACCAATACCCTTTTATCATTCAACTTCCTCCACACAAGTCATCACTAAACCTTTATCAAAATTCTCCAAAATCTCACTTAAATCACCTCGCAATTACCAAAGATACCCAACAAAATTACTCCTAATAGTCGTAATTACAGTATGAGCATTTCGCCCGAGGCGAAAACTGTGTGGTTTCGACGAAAATCTAGACTCAAATACAAGTTCAAGAATCAACAACAAAGCCTCCATAACAACACGGTCTTGAAACGGTAGGTAATTAACTAGAACTCAGCTTCATCAACATTGGTTTAGAGGTAATTTCAATAATGGGTTTTCAATTAGACCATACGAGTATAGTACAATTTAGTTTTCCTATTTCATTGAAATTGACCTTTAACAAAGCATTACGATGCGATAGAAGATGATGCAATGTCTACGAGTGAGTAGCGCTGGAGTTAGGAAATGAATAGTAAATGCTTAACAGAACACTGGTATGCTAAAACTCGGGTATCAAATTTGTAAAGAAAGCATGTAAGATTAGATAAAGGCTGGAGTTGAAAAGGATTTTACCCAGATTTATGAGCAAATTTGGTAAATTTGGCAAAAAAAAAAAACCACAATTAATTTGAACTAATTGAATACAACATAACTTGTTTTTTTTTTTTTTTTTTTTTTTGTGAATAAATGTGGTTAATTTTGCATTCAAGAATTAGTTATTTTGTAAAGCTGAAAAAAAAAATAATGAACTAATCCTTATCATTTTAATCTGAACTAATTCTTGACATTGTAATTTCTCATTCTTGATAGTATATGGATTATTTTGGATCATATAAGTCAACTTTCCATTAAAATCCTTTGTATAAAATAAATCTGATCTACCAGACTACCACAACTTCATCTTAGACTTTAAGGTATTTGAAAAAAAAAAGAATTAGTTTTTTTTACAGCTAATAAAAATTAGTTATTAAATTTCTTGTATAACCTGCTACAACAGGTAAAACAAGTCGAGTACAAAGTTTAGCACTCAATTTGCAACAAGTGAAAGATGAGTGCTCAATCTGCAATAAATAGCAAAGTTTAGTACTTAGTTTTATACTTTACTTAAAAAACAAAGGAAGTATAAGTCTTGCTCTAATCCGCACCAATCACCTCATGCAGTAATTATCGACCCACATTAATTGCATCCGTATAAGCCACATCACCGTCATACCACCGATCGACTGGTCTATCGTTATGTCATCAAAAGATATTATACTCCACATATATAATTATGTTGGTCGTTTCCTTGAATTTTGGGATGTTTAAAAGTTTTATTTTTAAGTTTATTATCACTTTTATTATTTAGGAATTGATGAGCTTTAGTGAAATGGTGACGATTTAAATTATGTAGTATGTAATGGCTAAAAATAATATGGTGAAAATGTTGGATTAAATTTTTTTAAAAAATAGCAAAGTAAACTTGAAAATTCAAAATTTTTAAACACAAGCCAAAAAAAATTATTCTAAACTCGTTGAGTTGATCCAAACTCGAAACTTTTAGTTAAGATTGAGCATTTCTCAACCCGTAACCCGACCCAAAATAACCCGTGATCTGAAGCGACCCGACCCGACTGACAAGTTTACCTCTTGTCCTCTTCGTAATCAAACATAAACATCAATCCACGTGGCTCCCTGCTGCAATGTTGTCCAATCAACTTATAACGTATGATTACACTCATATTTCCACTTATCGTCCTTGAACAGAAAAAACTCATGATTTCTTTTTCCTTCCTTTCCTAAAATAAAAACAAAAACCCCCAAAATTGCCCAGAAATTCAACAATGGCTGAAATTGCAGTAATCCCTAATCACAAATTTCCAGGTATAATTCACATTAATGCTCAATTTAGTGAAAAACAAGGAAGCAGGGCATTTCTACCGTGCCATGCAGTCAGCATATTCAAGTCACAGCAGCCAATCAGATTCAAGTGCCAGGCTGTGAATCAACGCCCTTCAACTTACACTTCCCGGAATTCCACAGATATTCCCTTTTACGAAACTCCTGGGGTAAATTTTTTTTTATTTTTTATTTTCCTTTAATTTATTACGAAATTAATAATAATTTTCTGGGTTTTTGGGTATTTTTGCAGGCTACATTTGATCAGTATTTAGAGGATAAACCCAGAGTTTTTAGAGCAATTTTTCCGGATAAAAAAAGATGCCAACAAATTAGTGAGGTATTCCTTTTATTTTATTAATAATGCTATCTATTTTGTGAAGATTTTCCACAGTTTTTAGTGTTCGAGGTAAAATGAATAGTTCTGAGTAACATAGATAAGTGTAATTCCAAATCTCTCTTATTCATAGACGAAAGATGTTTTTCAAATGACAATCTTGTTATTAAATAGACTAAAATTAGTAGAACCGCTAAGCCCTAACACTGTAGTAATTTTACTTTAAAAGTTGCACTGTTCATGATAGAACAACTAACATAAGTAGTGGTTCAGCTTGTTCTATCATGAACAATGCAAATTTTAGATTATTTATTTAGGGCTGTTCTCTTCGGCTTAATTTCAGTTCAGTTCAGTTCAGATCATAATTTCCCTCTCTCATAAACAATTCAGTTGAGCCAGTTCAGTTCAATAAACCCTTGCAAGTTTGCCATTTGAGAAGCATCTTTCATTCATAAACTAGAAAAACCAGGCTCGCTCCATAGATGATGTGCCAATTGTACAATATTGTCTATAATACTGTAATGTCCATGTAATGTGAGTAATAATTGCATTGTCTTGGATCATTAAATTGTTTTGTTCGTTTGACATGATGGATGGCACGTCGGTCCTTAAGAATCTAGATGTGGTAATAAATGGAGTGTATGGGTTTTGTGGAAATTGGAATTGGTATATTCAATATTGTCAAGGAGATAGTAGTTGGTTGAAATATTACTACGAGTAGTTGAGTATGTAATACTTAATTTTTGTCTTGGCAACAGTGAATATTGTCTTAGAGTTCAGTTTGGGTTATGTGTAGAATTAAATATTTTAATATGGGCAATTTTTAAATTACCACCCAAAAATGTAACTATTTTCGAACTAACCACCAGATTAATTTTTTATTTTAAATTACCACCCTTAAATTAAATAAATGCTCAGATTACCACCCATTTTAAAAATCTGGTGGATTTTCCGTCTGAAGGCCCCACCTAACACTTATTTTGACCATTTTGACTGTTTTTTTCCCCGATTTTTCTCTTTAAAACGCTTTCTAAACTTTTATTCACATTTCCTTCACCAAATTGTACCAAATTTTAAAGAGAAAAATGTGAATTGAAATTAGGAGAGCGTTTTTAAAGAGAAAAATCGGGGAAAAATCAGTCAAAAGGGTCAAAATAAGCGTTAGGTGGAGCATCCATCGGATTTTTGAAATGGGTGGTAATCTGAGCATTAATTTAATTTAAAGGGTGGTAATTTAAAATAAAAAATTAAACGGGTGGTTAGTTCGAAAATGGTTACATTTTTGGGTGGTAATTTAAAAATTTTCCTTTTAATATTTGTAAATTGGCTTATGATGTTATTACATGTTCAACAACCTTTGAAAATCTTGACCTTGGTGTCATTTGCATATCATAGATAAAGAAAATGCTTCCTAATAGTGTTGTATGAATTGGATGGATGTTCGAATCTTTTCAAATTCTGTCGTGACATGCATATTGGAGATTATACCCTTGAACCGCAATCCTAACAACTTTGGGTGTGAATTCTAATCATTGAAAAGACCACGACGTATGATTGTGTGCTTGTGTAGCCTTGTGAGAAAATTATAATCATGGTAAAAGATTAAAAGGTTTCTAATTCTCTGCTGCTTCTGTTATATCTGTTAGCTTAAGCTTCTGTTCCCTGAGAGCATGATGATTAGCTATCTTATGTAGACTTTTTTGTAGTTCCCAGCATATTGTTGATAGCATAAAGCTTAATTAATCAGCGCCAACCCTTGAACCTTTATATAATAGATCATTGAACATTGTCTAGATGGAATGATGGATGCCTCTTACAATAAACGCCTTTCTGGAAATTTTGAATGTCAGTCTCAATCTGCAGATATGTATGGGCCTTCATAGCTCCATTTTAAACTGATAGTCTTGTATGCAATGGTTAGAGAATAAGATTTACTCCATAGTTTAGTTGGTTCTGAGGTTGAATGACATCCTTATTTTTCAACCAAATCAGCTTTTGAAAATTTGTAGTATTAAGGTCTTACATATTATAGGAGATGTAGTTCAGGATTTTATCTGTGCTTGTTGCCTAAACTACTATGGTCCAACTTTAGGTTTTCTTTCTTCTGACCTCATTGTTTTTCTTTGCTTTTTGTAGGGAGAATGGAGAGTACACATGCTACCCATACAGTTTTTCTTCTTTACTGTATCACCTGTTGTAGATATGAGGTTAAGGTGTAAAACAAACGGCAAAGATTATCCATCAGGGATTCCACCTGTCATCTCTAAAGTTCTTGAGCTTGACATTGTTCGTCATAAACACTTTATGAATAGAAGGACTTGATCCTTTATGTTTTGTTTTGTCTCTTTAGAGCTGCTGATTTTGTTTGCTTCAAACTAAGGGAGTATCACTAGTTATTAACTCTTATGCAGGTGAGATGGGAGCTTCAAGGGCTAGATAATGTGGTGGAACCAGATCAGTTTAGTCTCAGTGTAAATGGAATTTTATATTCAGATAGACGAGGGGTAAGAAGCAGATTGAAGGGTCAATTGGAGATGAAAATAAGTCTTATTCTCCCACCAGTTCTCGCCGTGGTCCCTGAAGATGTCCTCCGAGGTGTCTCAGAAGCAGTTAGTTTCCTAAACTTATTTTATCTTATTGAAAAATGTAAGGTTTGATTGTTACAATGATACAACTATGATGTTTTGACTCAAACATGATTGCTGGACATAACTTATAAAGGGACACTGGGATATGCTTTATGTTTCCAAGGCTAATAACTTACTATACGGACACAAAATACGAAGCTACTTCCTATGTACCAACTCAATGCTGAAACAACAAGGAATATCCATCAAGATTAGTTTAGCCGAGGCGACTAGTTCAAGCATCATAGAATAACAGCTTTACACATACTTCCTCCGATTTTTTTTGCTTGCATCATTTCTGTTTAATATGCATTTGTAAAATTAATCAAATATTATATATTAATAATGTAGGCATTGAGACGAATCTAACAAGATCTCATATGACTATGTTTTCTTTAACTGTAAATCGTGAAAATGTAACTGAAGTTGAGTATGTAAAATAGTGTACGCTATTGAAATGTTACTAAGAAAATTAAACCTGTTGTTTATAGGTGCTCAGGGGACTTGTTGAGAACATGAAAGACAAGGTCAACAGCAATTTGATAACTGATTACAGTAAATTCCGCAGAGAGCAACAATTGAACCGAGTCTAGCTTGTAGAACTGAGAAAAGATATCACTGTGTGAAGTGGACAATCTGGGAAAGTACCAGCTTTGTGAATTGTAGATTAACCCCTCCCCTTGTTTTCTTTTTTTAATTTCGAGTTTTGTAAAGCAGAATGAGTTCCAGTATGTGTAAGAGTTGAATATCAAATTCATTTAAGCACGGATGATATCTTTTATATTGGCAATTATCCTCCCCAATAGTATCTGGTGTTTAAACATGTTCAAGGCTTCCTGTATTATAATTTCACTAATCATGCTACAATGTGATGCAGACAATTTTGGTGACAGTGGTTACATATTTGTTCTTTTCAGCAAATTTATAAGATTATTGAATATTTTATCATCATAGAAAACAATGTCATTGGTTATTAAAACTTGCTCAGAGCTTGTTCAACCAAGAGGCTGCATACCTCAAAGTTTTCTTTGAGATGAAGTGTATTGGGCATTTCAACTCGTGTGGAAGACAGTATGAACCATGTTACAGAGAGATGAACCCTATGGAAGGGTTGCACCATTCACGTTCTACATACAACAGGTCTCACACAATGTGCTGTGCCACTTGCAGAGTCTATTTGCTAAGACTCCCAAAAAGTAGCGCGCCAGTTCTACTCAAAGGGCATGACTCGTGATTGATCGTGTCACTGCAGCAGGCCAGCACGACAGGTCAGTTGTGGAAATCGGAAATTATTCTCATTTGAACCCTATAAATTCTCACTTGGATGCATACATGGATCAACAGCCAACTCCAAGAGCGAAAATGGGTGCACAGAAATCCCAGTTAAGTGATAGGGATATAAATAATGTGACCCGTAGAAATGAACGAGTTCATCATCTTGATCCTGACTATTCTTTACAACAACCATAGACAGGTTCGCGGTACGCTTGATTATCTTCTCTTCTTTGAGGCTTCTTGATCATATTGACAGGGTAATCAAATTGGTCAATGATAAGACCAAAAATATATATGGAGATGCGGGGGATCGAACCCCGTGCCTCTCGCATGCAAAGCGAGCGCTCTACCATTTGAGCTACATCCCCATTTGATACAGATTACTAGGAAGTCATTGATGCCTCAAAAATCGCATTAAATCTCATGCCCATACTTGCATAAACAACGTATTTTATTTTATTTTATTTTATTTATTATTTTTTTGTATATAAATTAGGAGTTCATTCATTTCACTGAACAGCTTAGGCCCCGTTCTTTAGAGCTGCTTTGCTCTGCTGAAATCTGTTCTGCCCTGCTCTGCTTAAAAATAGTACTTAAAAATAGCTGCTTCAATCTGCCCTGCTCTGCTCTGCTTTAATCTGCTCTGCTCTGCCCAGAAGCTCAAAAGAACAGGACCTTAGATTTATGAGGGATGATGGATATTTTAATACTATGTAAATACGTACTCCCTTCGTCCCTAAATTACATTCTTCCTTTTTATTTTGGGTAATCTAAAATTACATTCCACCTTTTTTATTTTTAGTAAGTTTTTTTTCTTCTAAATATCCCAAATACACTCTCTTTTCAGTTGTACTTTTAATGTATAATTAATGTATTTACATTTCACTTTTAATGTTTGGTTGGCTAATGTACTTTTTCAGCCTTTAATTTATCAGAATCCTTGTGCCAAATTACAATGAATATGATTGGTTAAAAAATTTCAATTAGGAGCATGTGATTGGTCCTTTTTTTTGTAAAGGATTGATGACATGTCATGAGTAATCACTAATCTATCTTTGTTAATGTTTTGTACTTCCCATTGCATGATCTAATTATTGTTATTTGTCTTATTCTTTCATCTTCCCGTGTAAATTTCTAAAGAGGAATGTAAGTTAGGGACGGAGAGAGTAATAGTTATTGCATACATTGAGGTTTAAACTTCTCTTAAGCGGCACCAAACTGCTTACCATTTGAACATCGTAAACAACATGCAATGATTTAAAATTGAGTCATTGGTTGAATTAAATTGAGTCTATCTATTTGAATCGAGTTTTATCAGTTTTGAGCCATGTTAAATTATGAGTATAGCCATATAGATCATATTCTAGATTAGATTAATCATGATTCATGAATCAAGTTAATTTTTAACACCTCTATTGTTACAATATCATATCGAGGTGTAACACTGTAACCAATTAATTATATTCTCTTCGGCGATGCTTTGTAATGTCTGCAACAACTTATAAAAGCTTGCTTGAATTTAGTGAAGTTTAATTTGTCTACTTTATTCATATAAGCACCACGATAAATCATAGATGGTCAACGATTGAAGTGTCAAGCCTATATAATACTCGTACAGTTGTACGTAGTATAAGACAAAAATAACTACTACGGAGTACCTCCGTTAAATGTTATGTACAATTTTGGGGTATTATTTGTGAGATATAAAATATTTCAAAGTTGCACATAATATTTAAGGGAGGTAGTATAAAACTCTTTACCTTGATAACAAAAGATAAAAATCCCCTTTTTCCTTTTCTCTCTTCTCTCTCCTCTCTTTTCTGGGTTTTAGTTTTCTTGGCCGTTTAGGCCGAAAATAGTCTAATTTCTTCGGAAATTAGACTATTTCCAACCCTTTTTCTTTAATTCAATTTAGTTTTTTTATTTTGCTTTACGTTTTGTTGTGTTTTGTTCTCTCCATCTGTGAGAGTCTTTCCCAATTTTCTAGGTTTTTTTTCCAATTTTCTGGGTTTTTTCCAATTTTCTGGGATTTTGATTCTCATCTATGGATGAGAATTTTATTTTTAGGGTTCTTATAATAATTGGGAAGGTGATTTGGATTCCTATGGGTATGGGATTTGTCATCAACTGGTCGATCAAAACATCAGTGCGGATTGCGGAGGTCTCAACTTGGAAACATGCAAAAACATCGAAAATCATTGCTCGCGTCAAGCTTGAAGCGTTGGAGTACGAGCTATGCCAAATATGCAAATTAGTTATGATTTTGATTGTAAAAGTTATGATATTTTCTCTAAATCTGTGGTTTACAGATCTTTATCACTGTAGATCCTATATGGCTATTATTTAATGATATTATTACTTCCCGTTAAAAAAAAAAAAAAAAAAAAAAAAAAAAAAAAAAAAAAAAAAAAAAAAAAAAAAACTCTTTACCTTGATGCAATAAAGTGTTACGTGAATGACATTAAATGATGCTAAACATTAAAACATATACTTCGTACTATTCGCCATCAATTATATCAATAATTCAATAATGTACTCGTATTATTTTAGCCCAAACAGTTGATGACATTTAACAATCATAAATTCATAATATTGAATAAAGTGCTTCATCAATATATATGTGTATCATAACAATTTTATGCTGCTTTCTTTTGACTCCTAAATCTGGAGTATTTGTCATTGATTCATAGATACAGGTTACAATGATGACGTCTATGAGTCCTAATATATCATACAGAATAATGAATATAAATCTTATACAAAATTGTCCATGTTTCTGTTCAGATCCGATTGCCCTTATTTGAGATCCGTGAATACCCTATGGTTTGGCTAAGCACCTACACAAGAAGAGAGGATTAGCTACCCCCGGAGTGAATTCGGGGATAATTACTCCGATGATAAAGTTAGAAATTGTTTGAGAGAAAAGAAGAGACAATATGAAGAGAGAGAAAGAGAGAGAGTAATAAATGCTACCTTTTGATTTAAAGAGTTCTAACTATTTATAATGATTTCAACGAACCACTTTATGCCAAGTGTTGATTAACTAACGCCATGTGCTCAGTTTAAGAGGTGTTGATATCCATGTCGTTATGTCACTACTAGAAAATAGCTCATTTTCGACGGAAAAATTTCGTCGGAAACACCCCAAAATCCGTCGAAAAACCCATTTATGACGGAATTCTTTCATACCTGGTTGTCGAAAAGGCTTTTGTAGGAAAAATGACTTCTTCCAACGGAAATTCTGTCGGAAACACTTTTCCGATGGAATTTTCCGTCGAAATAGGGTTTCCAGCACCGGAAAAGTCCGTTGGAAATTTTCAACAGAATTTACAATTCCGTCGGAAATTCTGTCGAAAAATGCTTTAAGGAAATTAAAAAAAAAAACGTCGCGCCACCACCGGCACGGCGTATCACCACCTCCAACCACCAAAAAAACCCTAACCCCAACATCAGACCACCGCCACTACCACCCATATCAAACCACCGCCACTATACCAGCCCCTAACTAACCCCCCACCACCAGCCCTCTAACCCGTAACAACAGTCCCGAACCCGTTCCACCATCCACAACCACCAGAACCCATACCCACCTAACAATAACCCACACAAACGAGCCTAGATCTACCACCCCACCAAGGCAAACCACCCCACCACCTACCTAAACCACCACCGCCACCGCCACCGCCAAAACAGACCATCACAATCCAAAAATTAACAAAAAAAAAGAAAAAAAAATAAAATCCCAACACCCAAAACCCAAACTCCAACAACCACCACAACCACATATATTCAATCTAGTAAACTTGAAACCCGAAAAAAAATGAATACAGAACAAAAAAAAGTTGAAATTCGGAACAAAAACTTACCACAAATATTCGATAATGGTTAGTCTTGAAATTGTCTTGAAATTGGTTATATAAGGCCAAATTCGACCATGAAAACGCTAGATCGAGCGTTTCCATGGTCGAACTTGACCTTAAAACCATAATACCCCGGGAACTTGGTCGGGAAATAAATCGGGGATGCTTCGTGGGCAAGCTTCGAAAATCAACAACGAAGGAGAGATATAAAGAGAAGAGAGGGAGTAGCAAAGGAGATTAAGAAGAGATGGAGTAGATAGAGAGGAGAAATAAAGAAAGAAGATAGATGAAGAATGAAGAGAGAGAGGGAGAAAAGATGGTCTGGAATTATGACTGGATATTCAGGGATTAAGGTACAAATCCAATCTAAAAGATGTTGAACCTGCCCTAATAATAGGTCTCTACTTTATTCTTCTCGTATTCACGTGCACTTTCTGACTAACATACAATCAATAGATTAACCCTAAACCTGTTTAATCTATGTTGGTTGAATATTAATGTAGAAACAAAACTATTATTGGCGATCACTTGAATTATAATTATGGCAAATTTGTCAAAAAAACCTTTTAAATGCACCATTTTGCGAAAAAAAACCTTTTAAAAGCTTTTTGGCAAAAGAAAACCCGAATTTTAACATTTTAGCAAAAGGAAACCCGATTATTAAATTTTTTTGTTGAAGACAACTTAGTGCCACTAATTCACTTAATTAAGTTCTTATTTCTTCTAATTATCCAATAACTCTCACTTAACTAT